CTACTTTGGATAATGTAGTATGATAAAAACTAAAAAGCTATAATAAAGTAATGCCCCAAGTGTTGCAAGCATACATAGGCCATGGTAACCGCTTACCATCAGGTGGGCCGTGTACCTTTTTGTCACCGTGGTGGTATAAAAAAAATCAGTCTCTCCAAGAACCAATCATATTTGAATAAATTTTTTCTTTCTTTATTTTCAGAAAAGTAAGTTGGACTCTCTTCTCAATACATGTGATTAATATAATGATGTATATCTAATATGTATAGTCAAAGAAGTACTACTTACTAAAATATAAAATGTAAAAGTTTGTTTACATGTAATGCTTTCTACTACTTCTAGACTATCACTATAGCATTAAACATGGCATTGTTTAAGCAAAGATAGAAGATAGATTTCATTCTTATCTTTAGAGATCCTTATTATTAAGTATATAAACATAGCATATTAAATAAAACTAGTATAATATGCATTCTGTTGTATCTATACTAATTATTATAATAATAAAGCTGAAAAGTTATCTGGTTATTAAAATGTGTTTATCTACGTAAATAATGTAGTGGTCTAATTAGAATATTTACTTTTGTGTTTCACTATCTACTCACTAGCATATAATAATATAGGCTACAAAACATCACACTATGATCAATAGGAGCCAAACAGAGCTGGTAAAATCGCGCGTAACTAGTATACTAATAAAGCTGAAGAGTCTGTTGGGTTATTTGAACATGTTAAACTGTCAAACACCAAGCGGTCACCGGTGACCGCAACCTATTGTTCTATAATTGTGTCTACAAAACCGGTACTCGACGAGTTAATCTACGAAACTACTGTTTGTTTTGCATTTAGCGATGAAAGTTATAGGCTTAGGAGCCAAATAGCGGGTAAGGCGCCAGGGAGCACCTAGTATGTATTTATTCATCAACTTGTTGCACCTTAAAATACCTACAATTAGTTTACAGGTTGCTTATGGGATGATATGCTCCATCGTAGACCGCATCATCACTTACCACCAGGAGAGATGACGGTCAAACATTGGGCCATCAAATAAAAAATTAATATGTTTCAAAATGGAAAAAAAATGCATTTTTCCTTGAAAGTGTAGACAGCACTACAGCAGTGTATTTATGTAATGTTATTTAGATTTAAAATACTATCTCATCATCCAATCATTTATGTGTATCCTAATTACAGTAATTAATAGAATTATTTATAGTTATGATTTCCCTAAAAATTATAATATAACTGTTTATTAATATATATAATATAGATGTTAGACTGCCTTGTTGTTCACACCAGGGTGTGATTTGTTCGCAGAGAGATGGAAGGATGTATGTCGTGAATATGTAAGATTTTGTGAGAAGATGGACGGCTCATGAATTAGTTTTAAGTAATTATAATTATTGTACTTTTTATATAAGATACCTATTGCATAAGTGTAAAACAGTAAATAAGTAATATTTTTTATTGTTTACACTGTCAAACACCAAGCGGTCACCGGTGACCGCAAGCTATTGTTCTTTAATTGTGCTCGACGAGTTACTTGTTTATTGTTTTGGCTTGTGCTGTAAAATTATGCATGTGCTTATAAATAAATAAACATAAGTGAAAAGTGGGTGTTACATTGTACAGTGGCATTAAGTACCGTAACATGCACCTTTGCCTACCCCTTCAGGGATAAAAGGCGTGATGTTATGTATGTTAATATAGACTATAAAGTTGTTAATTTTATCTCAAAATATATTATAAACGGTGAACATAATGCAATTTAAACTGTCTTTGTCTATTAAGACAAATAGACCACACTATAATTTTCAAATACCTAATTAATGCCAGACCCAGGTTTTAAGAGAATTTTTTTTTTCATAAGTCTGGGTCTTTTTTTTAAGGGGGGGGGAAATCATCGAATGACTGCTCCCGCCTCGGTGAGACGGGAGGGAGTGTCACTCTTACTAATTAAAAACCACCCCATCCCTTCTTCTGCACTTCAAGCCAGAGCCCCCGGTAACCCGTTAGGTTCTCCGTGAGTCAGCCTGGGTCTGGATTCTAGTAAATAATGCATTATGGAGTATAGTCTGATCAAGGGCAATAAAAGGGTTAAAATATCACATAAACTGATTTAAATTATCAGTCTATTTTCGATTTTCCTTATGAGTAAAATTATTATATTGCATTTGAACTTAACTATGATGTATATAGTGATGTCAGATTTATTTATTTTTATATGTATGTACTTATAATTTAATAATTAATTGTTATGGCTATTAGACATAAATATAAGTAAAAGCTATATTACATATAGTAAGGCATTGCAAAGTTTATACAGAACATGTAATGTAACATAATAACAATTTTTATGTGTTTATTATTAAAACCTAAATCACCTAAACATTTCTAAACACTTTCAAAGTCAAAGTCAAAGCATTTATTTCAATTAATCCATAGTTTGGTACTTTTGAAACATCAACAAATACAAAATAAATAATAGTCTGTCAGTCAGTCTGTCAGTGAAATTAGGTGAAGCTAGGTTCATATGTTTTTTTCCAAAATCTATTCTAGAACTTATTCAAACTTGAATGCTCAATGTTTGATAATGAAAGAATTTGGGACCTGGGTCTGGCATTAATTAGGTATTTGAAAACAAAGTAACTACCTATTAGTTCCAATATGACAATGACTAATAAACTAGTCGAAAATCTTATCAGTCAATAATTATACAATAAAAATATTTTACAAACAAGCAACAATATGTAGGTACCTATATTATCACATCTATGCATGTATTTGTGGAATACAGTTGTACCTGTAGATAGTACTCAAGATAAGAGCTGAGCTATCTGCTAATAACAATGAAATCATGTTATCATAAAATGGCCTTACCTGCCAGTTTTCCAGTAGGTCTCAGTTTGGGCATCCCTCCAGCGAACAGCCCGCCCAAGCCAGGCGGGGCGCCACCGCCACCGTTCTGCAGTGGAGCAGCACTCCGCGCACTGCTCCCACTTGCTGATCCTCCACTAGACACATTTGACACTTTCCCTGGTATATAAGGGCCACTTTTGTCCACTGTTTGAGTCTTTTTCAACTTTGTTCCCTGTCGTATCGAACTCAACAAGGCATTTCTGTCATCAGCACCACCACCCTTCGAGCCACCTCCAAACACAGGAGGAGGTGGCGGCCCAGGCGGCGGAGGAGGACCCGGCGGTGGTGGAGGTTTCGGTCCCATGGCGACACTACACTTAACAGACACTGGCACAAAATGCCATCAGACGCTTACGAATATATTAGGAACGCCGTGATAGCAACCAATCCTGTATTCTAGTAACGACGATTCAAACCTTCACAACTCCCCGTCTGCGTTCTTGCACGTGATGACAACACTGAATGCACTATACGTCACTTTACACCAATACATACTAATTTACATAAAATATTGAAGAGCCTTGCCCTAAAAGATTAATCATTGTAGGAAGTACGTAGGCACTGTAGTAGAAATTGTTTTTACTTACTCCGAGTTTATATCGTCATAATAACCCAATACTCCTACTATTATGGAACATCGTTAAATATTCTTCTGAAGCCAAATACATAGAATAGATACGAGTTCAACTAAAGCAAGTTGCAGAACATGGGCAACCACCACAATGTATTTTAATCAGTGGAATGAACCCAGTGGGGATTTTGTAAATGTAATTCGTCGTTCACAAATGGCCGACTGGGGCCTGGCGAGCTGTCAAAACGTCAAAATAGATTACAAAATTACCAGTTTTGAAAATGCTAACATTAATCAGTAGCTTTCAAGTACGTTGAAAAAAGGTAGTTTTTTTCTCATTTACTTTTCTTACAAAAATTAAGATACAACCCTTCGAATAAAATTTATTGAAAAATATTAACATAAATTCACTTCTTTGTAGCTAAATAAAAAATAACTATAACTTCATAAAATATGAGAGAAATTATGTAGTCACATAAACATATTACTTTTATCAATTTCATTAGTTATTTTCAATATCACTTGCTTTCACTAAAACTTGATCATCTGGTCGTAATGTAGAATACATTATCAGGTTGGTGTCATAGCTAGCTTCACTACCTCCCCTTGTAGCTAATAGTGCCATGGCTTCACGTTCAGCTTTAGCTCGTTCCTCGGCAGCAATAAATTCTCTTTCGGCTTCCAGTTCTTGTTTTTCCGTAATGCGTTTTTCTTTGAGTTCTATGTTTTCTCTAAACTTAATGAGAGATGAAGATAAATATTTAATAGGATCTGCTGGTTGGTGTATTATAACTTCGGCAATACAAAAACGTAATGCAGGCCCCACTGTTTGTTTTAAATATTTAAAATCTTCAGATACTTGAGCATCACCTGGACACGATTGAAAAATATCTGCTTGGCTTCGAATACGAACTAAGTTCCCCAAACCATCATTTTCATATTCGCTTAAATGATCTTCATCACGATAAATATGTTTACCTTCCTCATTTACGTAATAACGACCCCAGTTATCATAATGAAATACAATTCCATCTCTCTCTTCTTTTATTTTAATTAAGAGTCCTGTGGAATCCATCATATACTCACTAGCAGTAGCATGGGCTTTATAGATTCTTTCTCTCGTTTTTGGATCAACAAAATAACGGCCACATTCATCGTAGTAATAAATGTGATTTTCATCGTCAGAAAGAGGCACTAGGTCGCCTTGTTCATTAGGTTGTAAAAGTGTTCCATCAGTAGGAGATTTGTATATTCTTCTGCTGTGTTCGTCTACATAAAAAGTGCCTTTTTCATCAGTGAATTCTTCCTTCACTTCAGTGGCGCTAAGTATAGAAATTATAGAATGATCACTTCTTTCTCCAAAAACTGCCATATCCCATAAATAACATAATTCTGTAACTAGACGTTCTCGTGTCTCCATTGGAAGAAAGTGATTAAATATTTTCAGTTGATAAAAATCTTCGCATGAGCATATTTCATCCTCTTCTCCAAAGTCACCATGCAGTTTAATTTCAGTTAAATTTTGAACACTTTTCAAAGTAGTTTTCATTTTTTCTAGGGAAGCTACTCTTTGTTCCAAAAATTCTTTTTTGCGTTTTAAAGCCATGACTGCTGCACTAGTTGGTTCATTTTCCAGTCGCTCAATACGGCCTTCCAAATTAATAATCTTCTCATATACTTTACTAAGCTCAAGAGAGTGTCCAACTGTGCCTCTTATCATGAAACCAATTTCTCTGCCTTTCTTTCTTAACTCTTCTATTACCTCTTTAACAACTGGATTGGTTGTGTCAGTATTAAATTCATCGACAATTTGTTGCAAAGTTTTAGTTAAATCACCCTGTAAATTTGGTAGATGGACGTTAATATATTTACTTAATTTTATGAACAAACCATCGTAATTTTTATCGAGCCAGTTTAACAATTCATCAATTGCCTCATGTATATGTACTTTATATTCTTCAAAACAATCGTAGCTTTTAAATTTTTTTAATTTTTCTAAAAGTGCTACCGTCACTTCTTTATTCATTTCTTCCACAATTTCCAAATCAGCAAGTACGTGTACTTGATATTCATTTGATAGTTCTCCTCGATACTTTTCCATATATCTTTGGAAGTACTTCAAACGATGGCCTATCGCATCTATAGTGAAAGTAATGGATTGAAATACTTCCTCTCTTGGAATACTCTGAGACAAACCATTTTTAAAATTTTCTATTTCATTTACAGCTTGTAACCATTGTAAATGAATGTCTACAATAGTATCAATAACACGTTTTTTATCGTCTTCACGTAATGCTGTTCGTATTGAGCATAATGCGTTAAATATTAAATCGGAGTAATCTTTATTAGTCAAAAATATCACCACAGATTCATAAAATTCCTTAACTTGTTTTGATATATCCGAATAGAATTCTAAATCTTTACTTGGTTCCAGCATTTTTACGATGCGCTACATAGGCAAAATAAAATTATAAATCAGTCAGGTCAGGGTTAGGAGCATTATTTGACATAATTAATTTGACATGACTGACTTGATTTTTGTTTTCTGTATGACATAAATGATTCTTGTGTTCAAGGAGGTACATTTTAAACTGAGATATTTTTGTGTAAGTTTGTTTCTACCACTTTCTACCAATATAATAATTATTTAACCTTTAACTGGCAACTCTGTACGCGTCTACGATTTGTTTCTGAAGAGGTCGTCGATGACTTAGCGATTATACAAAATTACAAAGAAAAAGTGTGTCCGTTGTAGTGCTATTTTACTGTTTATCTACGTTTTTTAGTGTAAGCATATAAATATATACAACATGGCCGGAGCGATGTTATTCGAGAGATCGCGAGTGTCGTCGTCGACGAACAGAGACGAGGACGTCCGCATGACCGACAAAATGGTTAGCACTGGCGAGGTTCCCGAAGATGACGAAGAAAACATAAGGGCTAAGGAACAAGGGATCCTTAATCTCGGCGAGAAGTACAAGAAAGAAGGGAAGGCTAAAGAACTAGCAGAACTGATCAAAGCTACTAGACCCTTCCTCAGCCTGATAAGTAAAGCGAAAGCAGCAAAACTGGTGCGTTCTCTGGTCGATTTCTTCTTGGATTTGGAAGCGGGCATCGGTATCGAGGTTCAATTGTGTAAAGAGTGTATAGAATGGGCCAAGGAGGAGCGTCGTACGTTCTTGCGACAGTCTCTCGAAGCGAGACTGATTGCGCTCTACTTCGACACTGGTATGTACACAGAGGCACTGGAACTCGCCACAGCTCTGCTCAGAGAACTCAAAAAGTTAGACGACAAAAACCTACTAGTGGAAGTTCTTCTTTTAGAAAGTAAAACTTATCATGCCCTAAGCAATCTACCTAAAGCCCGCGCCTCATTGACATCTGCAAGAACTACTGCTAATGCTATTTATTGTCCACCTAAAATGCAGGCTGCCCTTGATCTACAATCTGGCATACTCCATGCTGCTGATGAACGTGACTTTAAAACTGCTTACTCATACTTCTATGAAGCATTTGAAGGTTATGATGGCGCCGACAGCCCTAAAGCCCTCACTGCCTTGAAATACATGTTACTGTCCAAGATCATGTTGAACAATGCTGAAGAAGTAGGTACAGTTTGTAGTAGTAAGGCAGCACTCAAGTATGCAGGAAAAGAGTTGGAAGCAATGCGGGCCGTTGCCACAGCATCTCATAAGAGATCCCTAGCTGACTTTCAAGCAGCACTGAAAACTTATAAACGTGAGTTGGAAGAGGATGCAGTGGTAAGAGCTCACCTTGGAGCTTTGTATGACACTATGTTGGAACAAAACTTATGTCGTATAGTTGAACCTTACATGCGAGTTCAAGTGGACCATGTAGCTCGCTGTATTCGTCTGCCTGTAGTGCAAGTTGAGAAGAAACTCTCCCAGATGATTCTGGATAAGAAACTCAATGGTATCCTTGACCAAGGTGAGGGTGTTTTAATTGTGTTTGATGAGTCGCCTCTTGAGAAAACCTATGAGACCGTCCTAGAGACCATTCACCACATGAGTAAAGTTGTTGATACTCTTTACCAGAAAGCAAAGAAACTCTCATAGAGCCATCTGTAAATTTGTTGTAGCATTAAAAACAATAATGTATATCAAAGTAACCATAAATTTTCAGTTTGAAATATTTGTAAATGAAACTATTTTTGAATGAATTCAAAATTGCAATATTTGTACCACAATGTTGTAAGTGTAATAATTACAGAAAATGTTAAAAAAAAGTAAAAATATAGTCTAGAAAAATGGGGAATTGCTGCAACCCCAACATTTAAGACTATGCTGTTACATTTTGTGTCAATTGGCACCTAACTATTACAAAAGTTTTGCATTTTTACCTACTAATCTTTAATTTGATTTAACATTTCCTTTTTTAACATAAGCTAGTGAGAAATTATAATATTCTGTTTTATTGAGATAAATAAAAGGTGTTCTCCAAATACTTGTTTCCTTCACATTGCCACCCACACATGCATTTTGCAAGTCATGTTATTTTAACTTGTTGGCACACAGTACATGCTGCTGTGAATCACTGCATATAAAAAAATTATGCAGGTAAACAAGTGTGTACATAACAATATTAAACTACTGCATTTTAGGAACCTAATATGTACAATTCAACTCTCTGTTCACAAAGATGTGCAATTGGGCACAGCTTGTGTAGTTGAGACCATTAATGAAGGTTACTGTATGCACTTGGCAGTCGCGTCACGGCATGCATTGCTCAACTGGCATCAAATTCTATATTGACTATAGGTACACGTGTATGCACACTACATCAGAGATACGTCTAGATTCTAGCCTAGATATTTCTATTAGGTATTATAGGTGACCTCACCTCAAGAGGCAGTGGTTTGCAATGAAGAATCATTAGAAGGGCATCAATAGAAGGTGATGGAGTAAGTTATACAGATGTTTTACGAAACAGACAGGTTTGTAACCATACCTAATCTAAAGTAGGTAAGTTATAAGACCTTGTTTCCATACACATGAGAATTCAAGGAAAGGGACATTACTCAGGTCATGCTAAAAGAAACCAAAATATAAATTAAATGCACCATTTATTTCACAGATCATTTACATTAAACTAACATAAAAATAAATGTAACAAACAGTTCCAAAATAAGTAAAAATGTGAAATGTAATATAAATCGTATTTACGTCTATTTTACAGTTTATTACACCCGTATTTGTAAGCTAATTTCCCTATTTACAATTAAAATTACTCTAATGAGGTAAATACCTAAATTGGTCACATTGTTTTTAAACAAATGTAGACTCTATGCCCATATTTATTTTAAAATCAACATTCCTAAACAAACTAAACTAAGGAGAAAATACTTTTTCCATACTAGCTGTGAACTTGTACTAATGTTTAGATAAGTACCGTTACGTGACGTCACCGCTTCGTTAGGAGGTACGGCTCATGCTCACGAGTCGGTAATATTATCTTATTTTGTACTTTACTACAAGATAATGCTTTGACGTCGATATCTAGGTACCTACTTGTAAAAGATGTTTATTATTTAAATGCTTAAGCATGCAATTAAATATGAATCCACATTTTTATTATTTGACAATTTTGTTATTAGCACACTGAGTTTGTAATTACAACCTGTGCTTGACCGGTGTGGTCTTGTTACACAGAGGTCAATGTACAATACATGTACGAACAGTTTTTACTGCGAGACTAATGAAACTGCGTCATATCTATAAAGGTACTCTACTGATTAAACAGTTCTTAGGTTTTTACAAAGTTTTATTTATTCAATTCGATAGGGCCGTAGACGGAACACCTGTGAGCTTCGCTGTCACCCACGGACTCCTGTTCCACCAGAGGAGATATAAAAATTATATTTATGTAAACTTGTAGTGTGAATAGAACCTACAACCGATGAATACATGACAATATGCAGTAGATGATAGTTTTATTTCTACCCTGCAAGAGGGCTTTGGTGGGAATTTTATTTGCGCGGATGCAGATAGGTAGGTACGTAAAGTTTGCTACTGTCAAACAGCGCCTGACTCTATATCGATAGCAAATATACACATTTGCATAAAAATATTAACGTTTTTTTAATGAATAATTGCTAAAATACACAAAAACGTAACCTTAACCTTGTAGACAGACAAAAAGTAAGAAAATATGAAATCTTTTACAAAACAAATTTATGTGAAGGGAGAATAGAAAAGGTCAAGTTGCACTAGGTAGGTAGGTAGTAACCTGAAGGAAGACGTGGCACAGTGGTCACGTGCCGCCGTACATAGCGAGGCTTAAGAGAGATGCACATCTCCCTTCTGATTTTGTGATGTGTCGCTACAGGCGTTTCATCGGGGGTTCCGGAGCAGGTCTATTGTAGAGGATTCTGTGCCCTCCATAGGTGATGATGATGGCCACCGGGGTGGTTTTAGTGAGGTAAGAATCCCACACTCCCTAGTTTTTTATCCCTAAAAAGCTAGGCGTCTTTTGAAGGTTTCCCCCCGTTATTAACTCGTCGAGTACCGGTTTTGTAGACACAATTATAGAACAATAGGTTGCGGTCACCGGTGACCGCTTGGTGTTTGACAGTTTAAAAAAAAGGTATGAAGGTAGGTAGTAACAAGTTCATAGTGGCCACTTATAGGCATGCGATATAATGTGAATGAGTAAGATATAAAAAAATATTACATGCAAATTACATTTTTGAAATATAATTACATAGCTAGTGAAAGAAAGATAATTACAACACTAAGGTATTAAACATGTACTTGAACCATTTAATGGCTTATGATAATAACATAAATGTTTTATTAAATAATTTAAATATGTTTTATAATAACTATCGTGAGACATAGGTACTAAATTAACTAAAAATCGCGGGTTACGCGCGTGAATATACTGAGAAAAGCTGTGCGATCAAGCGAGCTGCTCATGAGGAAGAACCCCTCTGTGGTTCGAAACTAGTAGAGCTTTTCTTAGTATATTCACATATTAATTTTTAGTTAACATAAATGTAGTAATAATACGGGTATCAATTTATTTTAAATAATAAATTACTTAACTGTTGTAAGACTGCCTCGTTGGCCGAGTGGTCGTAAGTGCGACTACCGGGCAAGGGGTCTCGGGTTCGATTCCCGGGTCGGGCAAAGTATTACTGGGTTTTTAAGAAAATCTCAGTCTGGAATTGTGCCCGTTATATGGCAATAAGCTCACCCCCTATTACATGGGTCTCATAACATAAATAGTGAAAAGTGGGTGTTACAATGATATTATGTGCCGTAGGTGTAGCTCTGCCTACCCCTTCGGAGATAACAGGTGTGATGTTATGTTGTAAGACATGTCAAACCGATATGGCTTTTCGTTACGAGTGCAATTTTCTTTAATTCCTAAAACACATTAGCTAATATAGCTAATGCTATCACCTAAAAATTGCCATGCCCATGTATGACGTCATTGCTTATGACTATGAATCATGACGTCATCCCATGACAGGTAAGGTGCGACAAAATCATGAGTGTTTGTACGTAAGTATTTATTATCTAAGTTCTATACTATACTTAGATAATGTACTTAGATATTTTTATCTGTGCATCTTATAATTATTTATTGATGCCGTTAATTCAGGCACAGTAAACTTTTAAGCGCCTTTTACCACTAGTTAAAATACTATAAAATTAGCTACCAATACCGATTAAAGTTATTCTGATATATTTATAAACTCATCACAACTATTTGTTCTTTGAACTAGGCCTGTTGTTCCTATTGAGCACTTACGCTCCAAAGAGACGAACCACATTTCAACTGCAAATTGCAGCTCGGATGCAGTTTGAACCCAGTTGACACGACTGCAATAGAACTGCAATCGGACTGCTCGTTTGGTTTGCAACCGTTTGGCAATGACTGCAATAGAACTGCAATCGGACTGCTCGTTTGGTTTGCAACCGTTTGGCCATGACTGCAATAGAACTGCAATCGGACTGCTCGTTTGGTATGCAGTTCAGCAGTCGTCGCATTCTAACTGCATCCGAAATGCAATTTGTGGTTGGATTGCAGTCAAAATGCTCTGCCTGGAGCATTAGTGTCGCGCAATGGCGTAATGTTTAATTTCTCTATTCTAACAAAATAGAGTTTTATTACGGCCACGGGGCGTTTCCACTGTCCACAAACTAAATAGGCCCAGTGCCTTCTATAGGCAAAATGTGACTTAGAATGAAAACATTGAAATTATTGTTTAAAACGTACTCACAAGTATCACATTTAAGAACTCTGGACAACTATCCAAAACTGAACTTTAAGATCATAGAAATAGGTACCGTATGTATACGTCATGAAACGTTGTTCATTCTGTTAAACTCCTCGGTATCATCAGGCACTTCCCAGCGCGGGTTCCAGAATCGGGGCGGAGTTTTCGGTCGGTCCGTCGGGTTGTTCATACCTCTATGATGAGAACATTCGTTTATTTTCTTCGCCATCATCTCCGGATCATGCTTGTAAAGTTCTCCGAAAAACTGTAAAATTGGTCAACTGTTAGTTCCAATCGTCAAAGTCAAAGTCAAAGTCAAAGCGTTTATTGCAACTAAGTGTACAGATGATGGTTATAAAATTATTACAGTGCTTAATACTTAGCGGCCTCTTACAAACATTGCAACATTTCTAGTTATGTAGGTACACATTCATTGTTATTAACATTGTAGGTAGATATTACAAATCATAAAGAAAAGAAAAAAAAATTGTATTTTTGATGAACATTTTAATATTATGTATGTGTTGCCATAGAAGGCCTAACGGGTTACCAAGGCTTGGCTCGAAGAGAAGGAGTAGGATTGGGGTGGTTTCTAGCAGTGTTGGGCAAATCAACTAATTTATTCAATCAATTGATCAATCATGATTGATTTAATCATGATTAATTTAGTCATGACTAATTTAATCATAACTAACGAGAACAATCATTAGTCATGACTAAATTCGTTAATCGCAAATCACCAATCATTAGTTTTAATCATGAATGTATGACTAAGCTCGATGCACAGGTGTTGGTACACTACACATACAGGGTATAAGGATCAGCTGACCGAAGTCTCAGACCATTATCTTGAGTAAAGTACTGAAGGAATTAGGTACGGAAATGAAAAAAAATTTTGACTCTGCATACAAAATATTAAAGTCGGCTGCTAATAGAATATAATGTATAGAAAGGCCAAAATTTTTTCTTTTCCGAGAAAAAATTCCTTCGGTCCGTTACTTAGGATGATGATCTGAGTCCATGGTTTTACTTTGGTAAGCCATCCTTTACACCCTATATTATATAGCTTTCTTAAATATATTATTTGTGTTTATAAAGTTCAATACAGTTACACTGAGATGATTAATAAATAAATAAAATAATACAAGTGTAATTTAGTTAGTCTTATAATCGTTAAAGCAATACGATGACATCATTTACTTTTCGAAAAACAAGTAATAAATTACATGATTACAGTCAGATGAGGTACGGGACCCTAAAAACTACTAAAGTTATAGAAGGTGTTACAAAAAACCCCGTTATACTGAAAACCATTTCTCCGTATCATAAGATTTTACCAGGGCATCTATTTATCTGACCACCAAAAAATACTGAATTTTAAACTAAAACACTAAAGTCTAACCTAACCTACAGTAACGTTTTGTGTCCAATTCAGTATTTTTTTAAGAAGCAGAAAAAATATTTTACCTTACCTCGTATTAAAAAATATCAATCATAAATAAATAATCATGATTATTTGATTAAGATTAAAACTAATCAATCGTTAGTCATCACCTCGTGATTAAACTAAATAATCATTAGTCATCAATCATTAAAACTAATCAATCGTTAGTCATCACCTCGTGATTAAACTAAATAATCATTAGTCATCAATCATAACTAACACATTCAATCATTAGTCATCAATCATTAGTTAACTAAATTTTGCCCAACACTGGTTTCTAGTCAGCAAGAGTCTGACACTCCCTCTCTCCAAACCCGAGGCAGGAGAAGTCATTGGATGATTTTCCCTCCCTCAAGAGATTTGATAAATGCAGATGAAGCGAAAAACAAGTTCCAGTGTTCTCTCTAGCATATCTCTTTATCAACAAGCGTTCTATTGTCTCTGCATATTTAAAACTGTTCAATTATGAGTCGAAGGAGCGCAGATAGTTTTGTATAATGTATAAGAAAACAATTTAACGTACATACAAAACCAAAAAAGACTGCCTCGTTGGCCGAGTGGTCGCAAGTGTGACTACCGGGCGAGGGGTCTCGGGTCGATACCCGGGTCGGGCAAAGTATTACTGGGTTTTAAAAAAAATCTCAGTAGTAACACAGAGTCTGGAAATGCCCCGGTATATTGCAATAGGCTCACCCCCTGTTACATGGGGCTCATAACATAAATAGTGAAAAAGTGGATGTTACTTATGTGTGCAGTATCTGATATCAACAAAATAATAGGTATGTTGGTAAAAATGCGGTCGTATATCAACTATTTTACATCCGCTAATAATAATATATAAATATATATTTATACGCATTTATATACTTACTTCTTTACATTTGTCACAGCTCCAACCAGGTAACAGCCGTTTCTCGGATTTCTTTCGGACGGGCTCATCAATTACTTCGACAAATTCAGGAATTTTTCTAGAACAAACAATTTACTTATTTAAAGATTTCTAAATTTCAAATATTAAGTGAAATAAAAAGTAGACATTCGCCCGAATACTGAAAGGCATACAAACGAATACTCAATTGTATGTACACACGGCTACATATCGAGCTTCACATAACCTGCATAAACTGAACGTTAAATGTGCGGAAAGATGATGCGACGCGAGGCCAGGATAAACTGGTTTTGTATAGATTGATGTGTGGCCGTGTGTACTACTTTAATATCGTGCCATCTCTGTCATTTTACAAAGAATTTGTTGTGACAAAACTATATTAGTGGGCTATTATGGATTGTTGATAAATCGATGATACATAATAATATGTAAAAGAGTTTGTACCAAACTTCGAACAAGAAAATAAACAAAAACGTTTTTAAAATTTCTTCATTATCTAACTGATAGACTAACTACCCCCAAGGAGGCTTGGGATGCCGTTTCCTCCTTTTGCGAAGTAGTATTGCTAGCTAAGGAGGCGGGACGCGTGAGGCAGCGAAGCGCTGCCTCCTCGCAACCCAGCCATCGCGAAGGACACACCGGGCGTCGGGGATCGCGGGACGATCTCCGGCCACCGTAAGCGCGGGCCTGCGGACATAGAGCATGGGTAGCTCGTCGCCCGACCAGAACCAGACCCGAGCGTACGGCGAGTCGCGTTCCGCGCGCGCCTCAAAGAGCCATCAGACCACCACGGATAAGGCCCATTAGGGCTGATGCCGATACGCAGTCGTAGAGGACTTAACGGGTTACCTGGGCTTCGGCTCGTAGGGCAGTAGTAGGAACGGGGTGGTTTTAAGTCAATAAGAGTGTGACACTCACTGAAGTCATTCGATGATCTTCCCCCCTTAAAAAAGACTAACTACGCTATTACACATACCTTTTAACATTATCCACAGCGTTTTTATTTATTGATTCTCTTTGTAACACTGACATGCTTGCTTGAAGCTCATCATCGTCTTGCACATTCATTATATTGATGTTTTCAGCTAAAGGACTTTTGTTGGGGCTGAAATGAAAGAAACGATTTAGAGATTAGGACATTTACACATGGTTTAAAATACTTTTCTACTATGCATAGGATGGTACTGAACTAAATAGAAAGAGGTCAAATGGAGGTTCGACGAGAAGCGACAGTTTTTGTGATTTTACCGACCTCGGGATTTTAACTACAGACCCATTGGTTGGTAGTAGCTCTAGCAGCCACTCGATCAACGAAGTAGGTGGTAGAAATGTTTCATAAGCTACGATTAAACAAAATCGACTTCAACGACCTCTTTTTTGAAGTCGGTTATTTAATATGATAAAACCTTCCCTTAAGTGTAACACTTTTCTGAAAACCGCATCAAAATCGGTTCAGCCAATCGCGAGAAAATCGCGCACAAACACACATACAGGTCAAACTGCGATCCTCCTTTTATGAAGTCGGATAAAAATATCCATCATTTATTGATGATTTAATTGTGTCGAGTTTTACAATTGGGTATTTACCTTACTCAAAAATGAATTAATTCGACTTAAACAGTCAATACAATAAAATATAAAAAAATAATCACACTTTCATTAATTGATTTTATGACCAACTTCATTTTAGTAGCAATACCAACTGTATTTTTCCAGCAAATTTTTAAGAAACAAGTATGCTATTTGACGCTAAAAAAACGTGACGTCACAATTCACAATCTCGTAAATAGAAGACTGTCGTTTTTTACAGTTTGTAAAAAGCATTGAATTTGACTATTTGGCAAGTACCCAATTATATGAATTCCCATGTAGAGTAACCATTTATAAACATATGTATATATATAAACTAGCTACTTTCGCGCGGTTGCACCCGCTCTGCTCGGCTCCTATTGATAGTAGCGAGATGTTTTGTAGCCTATGACCATCCTCGATAAATGGACTATTCGACACAAAAAGAATTATTGAAATCAGACTGGTAGTTCCGGAGATTAGCGCGTTCAAACAAACAAAAAAACAGACTCTTCCGCTTTATATAATAAGTTTAGGATAAAAACTATCTATCCACTATTGCAGTAGGTTCCCCTGTAAAAATAGTTGTATTTTGTGACAAAAATGATATAAAAGATAAATAAAACTCACCTATTTTCCTTTCCTTTGTGTATATTGTCCAGTTTATCAACATGGTGTAACAGCGAGACACTGGCTTGCGTGTCACAGTACGTCTCGTCATTATACGGCTCAACTTTCATTGGCGATTGTTTTAAGTTCTTAGGGAGTCTGTAATGTAATGTAATACAATATATTACCGACAGTACCTAACAAACAATTAATTGATCGTAATTATTGAGGATCAATCTAAAACTAACTACTTCCGCGCGATTTCACACTCTCTGCTATGCTCTTATTGGTCGTAGCGTGATGTTTTATAGTTATCCTCGATAAATGCGCTATCCAACTTGAAAATAATCATTCAAATCAGACTTGTAGTTACGGAGATTAGCGCGTTCAAACAAAAAAATCAAACTCTTCCTTCGCTTTATATAATAGTCTAAGAAGTATAAGATAAGAGTAGACTGCGTGACGTCGCCGCGACTTCGCACGCTGCTCATAATGAAGAGTCCGTTTATAACTCGAAACTATTAATGCTTTTTACAGTATAACCGGTGTTTTTAATCAACAGTAGTAGTCTTTAATTATTAGAGATATAATATAATATATTCTCCACATAATACATAGGCAGAAGACTAGACAGCCAGATACAGAAGTTTTTTTTATTTTACAAAACATTGCCACACTAGGATTTTCTCCTGTGTCGTGGTTGCGTTTACAAACATACAAGTTCACATACACATCACAACCAAACCCGAAACCACTATTTGTGGATTACACAAAGAGTTGTTCCGTGCGGGAATCGAACCCGTGCCGCGATGCGTGGCAGCCAGTTGCCCAATTACCGCGCCAACCGTGCAGTCGAAGTGCACAATTTGTATTGTGGACATACATGTATGTGTTGCAATTACGAGCTCAAAGTAATAGGAGGTGCGCTTATCATTAGCTTTATCTACATTCGTCTATCTCATGCATGCTCGTCGATTGAGGGATTTTTAGAGTTACCGAGCAAACCGTAAGCAATCTGCGGTGCCTATGGATACCAACGTCACCAGAGGCCTTAGTACGAGTTTGTTTTACGCTTAAAGTAATCGTAACGATTACGCATTCGGCACTCTGATTGGTTGGTTCATTGGTGCCGGCCAATCAGATTGCCAAACGCGTACCCGTTTCGAATACTTTAAACGTAAATCAAACTCGTACTAAGGCCTCAGAGGAGATAGGTACAAGGTACGTAGTAATTGAAGATGGACGAGGTTTTTTTATGTGATGAGCAATCGGCGTCACCCATGGACACTTGTAACACCAGAGGCGTTACTCACTCCAGTCGAGCCGATGGCTCTACCACACTAAATAATTTGAGGATTGTTGGAGATATAGGGATTGGGGCGACGGGGAGTAATAGGTCGGGCTTCTTCTAGAATTTCGCTAGTTCTTGATAGATTTTTGCGTTATTTCGACTTACCTATTAGGATGCAACAAATTAATAGAATCCTCTTGAGTAAAGGTGACACTATGATTCATATTATCTTTGAACACATTTTCTGTATTTAATAGTTCCTGTTTAATTATAGACGGTGAGACATTTTGATCAACTTGCTTTGGCGGAGTCTTCTTCTCAGTTTTGGGTTTCAAACTAAGTGGTTTCTTGAACTTCATCGGACTTTCTTTAGATTTGAACCTGTGGGATGTAAATAAGTGTTCTTTTAAGTAAAATTTTCATGTCCTTGGATATGATTATTTTTAAAAAGTATACATTTTTAAGATTTTGCAAACACAATGAGAAGTGAATTTCGAATGTTTAGATTCCAATCCCAATAGGGTAGTAAGTTTCTTAAATTGTATTTTATTGTCCGTCTGGTAGATTGTTTTAAACTGTCAAACACCAAGCGGTCACCGGTGACCGCAAACTATTGTTCTTTAATTGTGTCTATAATGACGGTGCTCGACGAGTTAAAACATTAGACACATTTTTTTTTCTTACAAAATTAAATACTTTCGACGATATATTGATTTGAAATATCGTGTGACGTCAGGATTTATTTCATTTTTTTATAGGGTAGCGTGACGTAACTACTTCCCACTCATAAACTTAACTCCGTTTTATATAAGTATTGTTTTGTTATACGACATATTAAAAAATGATGTGTCTAATATTTTTTCTATGTCTAACTGACGGACTAATTATATTTTTAATTTTCATATACTTTCTAGTACTCTATTAGGAATTTATTTTTGGAAATTCTATTTAATAAATATGTATGTTACAGCACAGTATGAACATAAATATTTTTTCCTTTTATGAGGAATTAAACTGTCAAACACCAAGCGGTCACCGGTGACCGCAACCTATTGTTCTATAATTGTGTCTATAATGACCGTACTCGACGAGTTAAAAAGTTTTACTTACAGTGTAAAATTATTGGGTCCACTTGTAGGCGATGGTAATATTGTGTCCTCGTTTTCAATCGATTCCTTCTTGATAAGTAGCTGTAATAAAATTTTCTTTAGTTATTAAATGAAAGAAATGTTTTTTTATTAATTTTGTGTTACTTCTGGTTTCAAGCCACATTATCTATTAGGGCCTACATTTATCCAACGGAAACTGAATACACGATAGACTTTAATTTCTGTGAATAACATAATGTTATCAATCCTCACCGGTTTATCCTTATCAAAATCATCCCTCCGTCCGCCACTGAACTCCGGAGAACATGTAATGTCTATCACAGTCGGCTGTTCCACTTTCACTAAGTTCAGTCGGGATTGTCTGTATCTGCCTATCTTTTTGCCACCCACTGGAGTTGACGAGGATAATTTGAAAGTTTTCTTTTCTGGTGTTGCCCTGTAAAGTTGAAAGTAAGATGTGTTACGAAACAACATTATTATGACTACAGAAAAAGGAAATCAATATGTTTCATAGGACAGGAGTAGGTATTATAGTCTCCAAGCAATAGGGTAGTTTCCTAAATTTTATTTTGATGTTCGTCTGGTAAAGTAATTTAAAACTTTAGACATATATTTATTTGAAATATCGTGTGACGTCACAGCGTGCCACATTTTGTAGCACGTTATGACGTAACCACCTCCCACTCCCACTTAGCGCCATTTTATCTAATTATTGCAACTTAATACGACAAAATAAAAAAATACATGTGTATATTTTTTCATTATCTAAATGACGGACTAATTAGATTTTTAATTTTGATACCCTGGAAACTACCCAATTACTGAAAAATTTGAAAATTAGAAGCCCAACAATACTTTCATTGCATGGGATAAGGGAGCAGAGAGATCAACAACAGCTTTTTTATCTTCCTAGGTTTTCCAATTTTAAATTTCCTTGTAACAGTAAAAAGTTTTAATTGTTGCTCTTTGTGTGCATAATGAGTTAAGACATACACTATTTGAGGAAAACTACCAATACAAATGCATAAATGAGAACAGCTTTTTTATGGGATAAGCCGGTAAACACCTGATGGTAAGCAATCGGCGTTGCCCATGGACACCCAAAACACCAGAGGCTTTACAAATGCGTTACCGATCTTTTGGAGATTAGGAATTCAAGGTTTGTTGGAGATTCAAGGGGAAGGTAATTGAGCCTCTGGCGTCTAACCTCACTCATACAACAAAACCCAACGCAAGCTTAGTTTCACGTCGGTTTTATGTAAAAGCCGTGGTATCACTTGGTCGAGCTAGCCCATTCGTGCCGGAGCATGGCTCTCCCACACTTAAAACACAGTTTTTTAAGTAGATATTTCCCTTACCAATTATCAGGACACTTTTTCTTATCCCTAAAATCTGATGTAGTCACTGTAGTAGTACCCCTAAGTTTCTTCATCGGTATAATAGGACTAAATCGTCCTGTTGTGGGCGTTCCTTCAATCTCTGACTCAGATTCCTCTCTAAACGAGACATCTTCAAGAGACGAATGCAATTCTTGCTTTATTGGTGATTTCTTAATCTCTTTGCTGTCTATGTTAGCCTGGTACTTTGGCGCAGGTGTGGGTGTTTCACCAAACAATATTCGGAATGCTTCATCTAATATTTTCAGGTCTTTCGTCTCATTTAGTCTTGTTAATGTTGATGCTGAAATTGGTAGACTTTGTCTTACAAATGTGGAATAAATAGGCTAGGTTTGTTGATTTCCATCTCAAACTGCCTTTAATCTATAATAGTATATGAGTAAGTAGTATACATATCCTCTTATCTGTTGAAACACCGGCTCCCGGTACAAAATATTAGGCTTGTGTAGTTCGCGAACGAACTAGTTCAAAAGAGCGCTCCCACATTCAAAATATGCGAACTAGTTCACGTCATTCCCAACTCCTTAGTTCCTTAGTTCGTATTTCAAAGTACAAGTACTCAAGGATTGTGAAGTCGTTTATATGTATAGTCTATGGTGAAGACCGAACTAAAAAATGCGATAACATAATGATCTCACTAGAAATTTATATACCTTAATATTTCATTGCGTGCTTGCATCAAAACTAGGGAGCGATTTGGCTGCCAGTGCCTTCCTAGTTCCTATGCGATTCATTCCGATTCCAAATCCAACTGGGAGTCGGGAGCTGACGAACTAGGGAGCGATTTGGTTGCCAGTGCCTTCCTAGTTCCTATGCGATTCATTCCAATTCCAACTCCAACTGGGAGTCGGGAGCTGACGAACTAAAAGAGCGAACTAGTTCGTTTAGGAGCGGCGAACTGATCTGAGTGATCTTAGTCGCGAACTATTAAGCACAAGACTACAAAATATTATGGCCCCAACTTTCAACAGACAAGAGGATATAATATAGATTATAAGTAGGTTACCTAGTAGGTATTATAGAACTAGTTGTATAAATATTAATAGGTATTTGGACTTACCAACTAACTGTATGATATTGTCTTTGGATTCAATAATCCTCTTCAGAGCTTCAGCACTACTGCAGCTGTTACTGAAATTGAAAAATAATACATCTAGACAGAACACTTTAAAGAAAAATTAAATTTATAACATAACTATCCTTACTAAGCAATTATGCTGTAAATACAAAATAATTACTATGAATGTAATAAATACGAATATTTTTTTTCATGGATAATTTCCTACAGAAGAGTAATTTTATACTATGAGGTTTGTATTCTAAAGAAGGTTGCTAGCTATTTATTATTTCTTTGATGACATTACATACCTACTACATTTTTCCTTTTGTTCAATGAATTGTGTTTTATAACTATTAGATTCAATGTGAAGTTGTTCAAAGTCAGACAGGAGATCTGGAAATAGATAAAAATATTTAGAAATAAAAGAAAATAAGAAACTTTGTACATTGTTTAAGAAGTCAAAGGCTTGTTATAATAAGCCGTGTAATTTATGTATCAGATTTATAAATAATATATGAATATTTCTTTATTATTAAATTTTTTACCTTTGAAATTATCAAGTCCTTGTAACAATGTTTTCTCTAAGGCTAAAACTTTTATATTATTCGAAAGCATTGGAGGTACAGAACTGCTTATACTAACTAAACTCATTATATTAACATTAAGAAAATAAAATAAACATAAATTCTAGTTCATAAATATTGAAGAAATTTTAGCGCCAACTAAAACAGATGACAAAATATCAAGGTTGTCGTCTTCAATAATAAACTTGCGATTTTTTTGTTAAATTTTGTTGACTCAAACAATTGCCTGACCACGTTGATTAATAACTTTTTTGTGTAAAGTAAATAACTAAATAAAAGTAACTTTACTAAAATAATTCAAGTCTCTGCCTGTTTCCTTGCTTTGTGTTTATATATGTCAAGTCAACTTCAAAAGTTCAAACGTCAAATTAAATGACAGCTACTTGCTAAAGTTTATAAAAAAAATTAGGCCTACTACACAAATAATTTAGTTGAAATAAATACATAATAAATAATAATAAGTAATAAAAGTAAGAATTCTGGCTGTAATAAATTCTTTTCGCATTATTGATTACTTTTTTAAACTGCTTGATAATTATTTAAAACTGGTAAAACCATATTTTTAATCTGCGCACAAAAGTCAGGCAAAGGAACAAACAAATTTGGGTTTGGGTTACGTTGTGTATTTTATTACGATTTATTGGAATTATTTACGCCAATCTTATGATACATTGTGGCTTTATGGTAAATATATGATTTCTTTTAAGTTTTTCGTGAAATCAAATCAGAATAACTGCTAAGAATATAGTAGGTTTTATAATTTCGAACCTTTGCCTTTGAAAGAAAAAAATTGATGGCGCTCTTTTGGGGTTGTCAAATTTATTTGAAAAATTATTTTGTATTTTATAAACTATCAAAAATGATTGTAAAAGCAACCCTGATTAATTATTTTCAGGCATATGAAGTTGGCTGAGACACCATGGAGGCGACTGAAGACGATATGATCGTGTTGGTGGTCGTTGACGATGATGAAAAAACCAAAGGCTTAGAAAAGGAAGCTACAGAGCCGAACTCAGAATCCAAGAACGAAGTGAATAATATACTTGAAATTGCACAGAAACATGGAGAATATGTTGAAGTGAATTTAGATCCAGAAGATGATGAATGTGACTATGAATATCTTGAAGATGAAACAGTTAGAGAGGTAGGCAATGGCTCTTTCGCGCTCATTTTCTACACTTTAATTTTTACTATAACTTTTGTAAACAAGAATAATTTGAGAAATTATTATTGCTGTATTCGTGTTAGATTCTAATAGTAATTTTTAGGTACATGCTACATCTTCATTTACTTAAGCTTAAGTCAAAGCATTTATTTCAATTAATCCTTAATATGGCACTTTTGAAACATCAAAAATTGAATTGTCTGTTTGTCTTACAATTGGAAAAGTGCAACAGGCACCTGTTACATACAACTCAAAATCTAAATAACTATTACAGACCGACATCAGAGAAGAATCTACAGATGGTATGGATTTTTGCGAAGGTGACTCAGAATATATACCTGAAGACTCCCAATCGCCACGAAGACGAGATAAGCACCGCTTCACAATGTTGAAGCCGTGGCAACAACGGTCATTTGTAGCAGAACTACGGGAGAATCATGAGGAACTGAGAGAAGACAAGGAGTTATTGATTAACACACTCGGTAGGATTATGTCAATGGCCAAGCCACCACCACCACCACAGGACTACTTTGTAATGGAAGGTGTAATGTTTGCGTAAGTGAGACAAAGGTTTTGGTCATATATCCATAGTAAAAATTATAAATATTTGAATGTGTGTTTGTATTTTGTATGTGTAATTATTACAAGGACAGTCTGCAACCAAATTTAGTCCTATGAAATACCTATATAATCATGTGAAAACTAGAAAAATAAATTAAAAGACTAGACTTAGAGATTTCAATTGGGATGATGGATGACAGGGTATGAAAATTAAAAATCTATTGAGTCCGTAAGTTAGGTAATGAAAAAATATTAGACATGTATAATATTTTGATGTATAATAAAATAATACTTTGATAAAACGAATCAAAGTTTAGGAGTGGGGGCTAAAACATCATTTCTACGTATAAAATGTACATAGAAGTGACGTCACGCGACATTTCAAATCAATATATCGTCGAAAGTATTTGTTTCTGTAAGAAAATAAAAAATACATGTGTAATGATTTGAAGTAATCTACCAGATGGACATTAAAATAAAAATTAGGCATCTACCCCATTCATGATATCATGACATTTCATTTATCTGTGAGTCCAGTCTATTAAAACTAATCAGAAACTCAACATAAATTACTAGGTCTTAAACTTCAATCGAGTACCTAAAATTCTTCTCTGATACTTACAGGTGCATATATTGTGGACATGTGTCAGACACACTGCCTGCAGCAGGTCGCCATTACCAGGAGAAGCATGGAGAAAGATATTTAGTCTGCTTTGCCTGTGGAGTCGATTTTAGAAGGTAATCTTACTCAACTACTAATTATTTGTTGGTAGTACAGAGAAAGACAGTGGCTACCTTGTCTTAATCAAATCACCAGGTAAAAGTTAGTTATTTTATTATTTACTCTATGACTGCCTCGTTGGCCGAGTGGTCGCAAGTGCGACTACCGGGCAAGGGGTCTCGGGTTTGATTCCCTGGTCAGGCAAAGTATTACTGGGTTTTTAAGAAAATCTCAGTAGTAGCACGGACTCCGGAATTGTGCCCGTTATATGGCAATAGGCTCACTCGCTATTACATGGAACTCACAACATAAATAGTGAAAAGTGCGTGTTACATTGTACAGTGGCATAATGTTCACCTCTGCCTACCCCTTCGGGGATAAAAGGCGTGATGTTATGTTATTATTTACTCCTGCACGGTGTCACCCACTGCTTGGCTCTTATTGGTCATACTATTATGATTATTATTATGTAGTTTACTGGTTCAAAAGAATACAAATTAACGCATGCAAATAACTGATAGCATATTTGTATTATAACCTTCGTGAGACATACTAAATATATTATTATATTGCTTTTTGGATTACTGACGTAATTATTTGACGAGGAACTCGACTAGTTTCAAGCCATACTAGAGGCTGAATCACGGCAGAGGGTGCGCTGGGCCCGCAGACTCGAGTAGCCAGTAGCATCGCTACAGTCACCGCGTCGCGGGTCGCGAAATGCTGCTCATGAATATGAGCCTCTAGTATGGCTTGAAACTAGTCGAGTTCCTCGTCAAATAATTACGTGTGTAAGCCGAAAACATAATAATATAAACTGCATGTTGTAATATTTCAGTACTACGAATCTATACAAGCATGAGAAGCGTTGCGTAGCTCCGGACGCTGAGATAGTACTGCGGGCGCGCGCCGTGTGCCTGGGGCGCAAGGGACGCGGCCGACCCTTCCTCACTAACGACCCCTATATCAATCATGGTCAACGCCATAAGTGAGTACATTTTTTTTATATATTTGATGGGCCTACGATGATACGGCTTATAAGCAACCTATTTATTCGGGCACACCCAGGTTATACCATTCAGGGAACACAGACTCTGGCAAAGAATTCCACTCCTTAGCACATTGGTATTGCTGCAGACGACTATTACGCCTATGAACTTAATAGATAACTTCCATCCCCAAATGTTACTGATTATTTGCAAACACTACTGATAATTTGGATATTCATCGGCTGAGTGCTTATCATCAGATGATTCATTTACTTGTTCATCGCCATGTTTCATAAGAAACCCTTTTTTCCCTTCTTAGCTTTATTTTTTTATAGTTCATCCGCCATTTGTCTTATTTGGTGTTGGCTTTCCCCACGGGCGGCACTAAATAATCGCTTACTGTCAGGCAATGTTCTATGGCGTCTATCTTGTAAAACTAAATAAATAATATGGTCATGTCTATTTAGGACTGCGATATACTACAAATAAATCTATTTCTTATACCTTCTTCATCAGGTATCCATGTTCCTTATGCTCGGCCGTATTCATAACGAAGAGTAACCTGAAGTCCCACGAGAACTTACACCGCGGCGAGCGACCGTACCGGTGTCACGCCTGCCCGTGCGCATACGCATCTAATTCCGCACTCTCAGTAAGTATTCTTTTACCTTATTATTTGTAAACATGAGATAGTAGGAAATTTATTTATATACTAGCTACTTCCGCGTGGATAAATGGGCTATCCAACACTGAAAGAATTTTTCAAATCGGACCAGTAGTTTCAGAGATTAGCGCGTTCAAACAAACAAACAAAAAAACAAACTCTTCAGCTTTATAATATTAGTATACATTTAGTATTTTTAATATTATGTTTTCGGCTTACTCACGTAACTGTTACGAGGAACTGCTACAGTAGCAGCGCGACAGTCGCCGCGTCGCGTGTCGCGGGATGCCGCTCATGAATATGAGCCTCTAGCATGGCTTGAAACTAGTCGAGTTCCTCGTCAAACAGTTACGTGAGTGAGCCGAAAACATGAGAACTAATTTAGTATGTCTCACGAAAGTGTGAGAGAGCCATGCTTCGGCGCGAATGGGCCGGCTCGACCGGAGTGATACCACGACCTCACAGAAAACCGACGTGAAGCAACGCTTGCGTTGTGTTTCGTAATTTTAGATGAAATCAGTCTAACTAGTAGCGTTAAGTGTGGGAGAGCCATGCTTCGGCACACAGAAAACTGACGGGAAACTACGCTTGTGTTTCGTCGTGTGAGTGAGGTTACCGGAGGCCCAATAACCCTCCCCTTCCCCAATCTCCCCAATCCCTGAATCCCCAACGATCCTCAAACTCCTAATCCCCAAAATGCCGGTAACGCAAGTGCGTTACAAGTGTAACGCCTCTGGTGTTCCAGGTGTCCATGGGCGACGCCGATTGCTTACCATCAGGTGATCCGTCTGCTCGTTTACCGGCTTATGCCATAAAAAAAGTTTTAATATAAACATATTTATAATATTACAAGACTCGAATAGGTTTGGTGTGAGGACACTAGAATTTTCTTCAATGTCGTGGCTGGGTGCATTTACAAGTGAAAATGTCGTATATACTTTATACCTGGGTATAAAGTGTATGTGAAATTTTTGTGACTCATAAATTGTAGTCGTCAGTTCTAGGTCATAAATTGTTGTTATCGGACCTAGAACAACAATATATGGGTAAAAAAAAGTTTTTTTGTGCGGGGACTTGCGGCTGTAGCCAAATGCCATTTAGCGCTTGTCTACATGTAGAATAGAAAACCAAATTATATGGAATTGACGTAAATTTTGACACTTGTCAGTGTCATCCCCGTACATTTTGATTTCTACTCTCTCTGTAGACAAACGCTAAAGTGGCGTTTGGCTAAAGGCCCAGAACTGCAACACGTTGCGCTACACGAGTAGCAGTTTTCATGTAAATATTTAATTACTTTACAGCGACACGCGAAAAAGCACACCGGGGTCCAATATATTTGCGACCACTGCGGACGGTCCTTCAACATCAAAGCTGCGCTGGTCGCCCACATGGACACACACAACGGTACGTGTACGTACGGTCGACACCGACTGGATACTAAACACGTGTTGTCATCGGTTGAGGTTCACATTCTGGGCAGAAATGCATAATTAATAATAATTATTACCTAGTAATTTGGCGTGTTTTCACCAGCTCTGCTCGGCTCCTATTGATTGTAGCGTGATGTTTTATAGCCTATAGGCTTCGTCGATAAATGGGCTATCTAACACAGAAATAATTATTCAATTAGAACCTGTAGTTCCTGAGATTAGCGCCTTTAAACAAACAAACTCTTCAGCTTTTGTACCATAAGACAATCGGCGAAGCGTCACCGATTCATGGTGGATGTCCCACCTACACACACGAAGCGCTTCGCATCAAGCTTCCTTGTGCGTACTGCTAAGGAGTGGAATTCTTTGCCAGAGTCTGTATTTCCTGAAGGGTATCTATAACCTGGGTGTCTTCAAGGCCCGAGTGAATAGGTTGCTTACGGGTCGACGTTCTCCATCGTAGACCGCGACATCGCTTACCACCAGGCGATATAGTGCTCAAACGTCAGTCACATCTAATATTATATGAAAAAAAACTTTATATAATGCTAGCTATTTGCGCGTGGTTTCATACGCTTTGCTGTGATGTCACATTTCAAAAACTATTATAAAACACGAAATATAATAATTGTATTAATGTTTTTTATTTTCTTTGATTATTTATATTTGGTATTAATATTTTTTTAAAGTAATTTAATTAGAAATTTTTATACATACGTAATTCTGCAAAATGTAACGTCACTCTAGGGGGTCTCACAAATGTGACTAGCTGTGTCAAGGAAGGGGGAGGAGCAAAAAATCATGAAATTCGTGTGACGTAATTTATTGATGACCCCTAATTTTGTTTTATAATATTCCCAGCGGTGCGTAAGCACCCGTGTGAGGAGTGCGACCGTCGCTTCGCCCAGAAATGTGCTCTGAACCTCCACGTGTACAGGGTCCACAGGAACTTACCGCCACCCTGCCCCTGTCAGATCTGCCCTAAAAGGTATGTGTAAAATCTTATTTAAAATTGAAAATACAATGGTTTTTAGAAAAAAAAAAACAAAAATAAAAATAAATAAAGTAGCTGTTGCCATATGATTCCTGTTTTATCCCATGGGAGCATTTAATCGGGATAAACAGTATCCTATCACGTAAGTCAGCCCATACCCTGCCTGTATACAAAAGTTTCATCAAAATTCGTTCAGTAGTTCCAGCGTGATGGACAGACAAACATCGAAACAAAGCAACTTTCACGTTTAAAATATTAGTTTGATAAACTCGCGCTACTCAGATGTTAACGTTAACAAAACAAATAGGAATATTTCCAGGGGCTTATTCCTGAATCCAATTCAGATCGATCGACATTGACATTGTGAAATTTCGTTCTCTTGAGTTGCAACACTAGCGCCTATTGCATTCGTATTGCGTGAATATTTTATGAACTAAATAGTATTGAGTTTGGCTTTATATTCCGTACTCTGAATGCAATTTTAACAGCTACGATAGGGGTTGTATAGTTTTGACATTGAATCATTATTGAGATTTTATTGGATTGAAATTGCATTGACATTGAGATTGGTTTCAAGAGTAAGCACCCAGTTAGTCAAATTCAATACGTTTTCGTAATGATTATTTTTCTTAGTTTGTCAAGTAGCATACTTATTTTTTTTTTATGAGATAATCCAGTAAACGAGCAAATAAATCATCTATTGGTAAGCATTCGGCGTCGTCCATCTGGAGCTGGACACCTGGAACACCAGAGGCGCCACAAGTGCGTTACTTTGCCCCTTTTGGGGATTGAGAATTTGAGGATTATTGGGATTCAGGGATTGGGGAGATTGGGGAACATACGACGATACACAACGCAGGCACTGCTTCACGTCGGCTCTCTGCTCGGCCGTGGTATCACTCCGATTGAGCCGGCCCATTCTCAAATTTCACTTTATTTTTCATAGATACTTTTAAAAAACAATTTGAATTTCATAACATGTTTTTGTTAATCATAATATGAATGCTGTTGTTTAAATTTCAATAAAAGTATTTTTTTTTTCAGATTCCAACGAATGTCGTTACTCAAAGAACACATGAAGAAGCAACATGGAATGTCTATAATGACTAGGAAGGTGAGCTTATTGCACTATTTATCTGTAGTCGGTTAAAAAGTCAGACCCTCCCTAAAACTTAATGCTTAGTACTTGTTCTGACAGTTTGTTCACAGTTAACTCAAAAACTACTGAACTCATTTCTATGCAGCTTTTACCAAATACATAAAGGTTACCTAAATGTTTTATAAGATTTTTTCTAAATATATAACCTCTCATTTTCAGATGTTCTTCAAAGCCCTACCAACCATGACAGAGTTAGAAGTAAGAGAATCGAAAGTCATTCGTAAAGACGAAGAAGAAGATATGCTGAGTTTCCTACCACCACCAGTTAAAATAAAGACTGAACCGGACATTGAAAGGAAACAGGACAACGGACACTTATACACGATAAAAAAAGAAAATGAAACAAACATTATTTACATTCAAAATGGTGAAGTTATTAAAATGGAGAAAGATGACGATGAAGTCCTATTTGAGGTAGAAAATATTGTTGACGGACAGATCTTTGTTAAAGCCCTTGATAACAGTACATTTAAAGGTGATTTTAGTGACCTTAGCGCTTTGGTAAGTACTTGATAGTTTGTGCCAAAAAGACTTGTTCCTATTATCGTCTTTATAGTCTTAGTGATAAGCTTTAAAATATGGTTGCAATAACTCAAGAGGATTGTTTAAAGCAATTTATTGATTGATTGAAAATTAATTTATTTACTTAAATGTTGATTTCAGTGAAGAGGTAAATATTCGGTTGCGAATCGCGTCTGTGGTTCGGCTTTCGGGTCACAGTACTGTTGAATATTTTGATTTGAGATCCTCTGTCTCAGTACGACAATAAAAATAACGCGTGTTTGCAATAGATTAGGCTAGTTGCCAGGATAAGAATATTAAAAATCTAATTAGTCCGTCAGTTAGATAATGAAAAAATATTAGACACGTATTTTTTTATTTTCTCGTATATAGTTATAATACATAGATAAAATGGCGTTAAGTTTAGGAGTGCGAGGTCGGTACGTCACAAAGTGCTACAAAATGCAGCACGCTGTGACGTCACACGACATTTCACATCGTCGAAAGTATATACTTTTCTGAGAAAAGGAAAAATACGTGTCTAATGTTTTATATTAATCTTTCAGACCGACATTATAATAAAATTTAGGAAACTACCCTATTGTGTCCGGGGTTTGGGTAAAGAGTCACAAGAAATAACGCCAGTTATTTGTACATTATCTACGGCAGGCATACAGTCAGTAGGAAAATTTTAAAACACCATAGCTTGTGGTCTATATAATAATTATAATGAAACTATCATATAATGAAATAACTAAGACTGAATATTGTTATTCTGTAATTTTAATGTTGGTATTACTTCACTTTTGTTAGAGTTGTATACACGGCCACACATCAATCTATACAAAACCAGTTTATCCTTGTGTCGCGTCGCATCATCTTTCCGCACATTTAACGTTCAGTTTATACTGGTTATGGAAAACTCGATGTGTAGCCGTGTGTACAACCGAAAAACGTAAATATACATTTAAAACGAACTTCAAAAATTTTGCGGAAGAAACATGAACATGTCTTGAAAATATGATAATATAAAATGAATTTAATTGTATTAATATGAAATTCCGTGTTTATCTATTTTGTCGACTGAATTTCTCAGTTCTTTTGTTGATTTTCTAAATTTGTTTTTGAGTATTTTATTATTGATTGTGTAATTTATTGTGGTGTGAATGAGGGGAGGGGGGAATGGAAGATGGGCTGTGGAGTTGTGTTACAAGCTTGTGTAGAGATACTAATTATTGTTATTTGTACTTCATTGATTTTAAGCACAAATAAAATCGTAAAGCTTAACTGATTTTTGTATACAATAAAAAAAATACCTACGGTTGGCGCGGTGGTTGGGCAATTGGCTGCCGCGCAACGTGTTGGGGATTCAATTCCTGCACGGATCAACTCTTTGTGTGATCCACAGATTCTTGTTCCGAGTCTGGGTGTCATGTGTATGTGAACTTGTATGTGTAAACGCACCCACGACGCAGGAGAAAATCCTAGTGTGGTGCAACTCCTTTTTTTTTTAAAGAAAAAGCAAAAAGAATTAAAGTAATATTTGAAGACACTCGTATACTAAACAATTAAGTTAACGTAGACAATAAATTTCAAAGAACATTATAACCTGCCTGTTAAAATAGGTTCTAAAATAATTCTGTATAAGATTTATTCAATTATGACTTTGAATAAATTACTCCATCCACGAACTTCGCGTGAATCAATGTTACCGATACAATTATAAGTAAAGCAATTATTTTTTTAAGTGAATAATTGTATCGATGACTTCGTTTTATAATGATGAAGTGCACCGGGGAGTGAGATACATTTATTTATGCCTAAAATAAATGAAGTTGAAAGGAATGTTGATAATTCTCATTTTTTAATAAATTCTATTATTACAAACTGTATGGGAGTGATTATTTAAATTGATTGTTAATGAGATACAGAAATAAAAATGCCAAAGTATTTTTAATACGAAAATGTGTTTTATTACGCACTTATTATTTCAACCAAATATGTTTACTCATCTATAGCATAATGCGTACACAATCGTAAGAAGACACCACGAATTTTTTTATAATGCATCATTACATACTAAGAAAATACAAAAATATTAAGCGGTTTCTTGGTAAACAACTACTCGGAATACCTTAAAAATATGCGAAATGTACATATACTTAATGAAATGCACCATTTTATAATACGCTGTTCATTCATCTTGGTCATCAGTTAACACTCCAAGACCTTCGTTTTTGAGCTTCTAAAATACGTAAAGGAAAAAAAATCAAAAGCAAAATGCCTTGCAATCATGAGTCGTTTACGATGCCAACAAAACGACAGACGAAGGCAATAATCGATAGCAATCGTTATAAATATCGATTTCGTGATAATATCGATATAACTAGTGATGTAAATAACTGTACGTTCGATATGTGACATATGTTAGAAGCTCTAAAACTATACGGTATAGTGTATGGGTGCATTGTTTAGAACTAGAAAGCGCTTTTTCTCTATTCTCGACAACAACAATCACTTCGACCAACAACCACAAAAACTAACATCAACTCTTTATCTTCACTCCACGAATACTGATCATAGTTTTATCTTAACAATGGTCCAAAAATATCTAATAGCATTCCTAAACGATCAAGTAGAAAAATACTTTTAATTATGCCTCACAGATATCTAGCTTCATTTGTTAATTTTCCCTCACTATCATCAAGATATATTTATATATTAAATATTTATTCTCATCTCTGTCATGTCGAATGCGTCACGGAATACAATGTGGGTCTAAGAGTGTTAATCTATACTACTGTGACAATCTCGATAAGTTTCGATTATCGTGTTGCATAATGTTCAGGATGAAAATATTACATCACTCTGTATAAAACTAAACTTTTATCGATATCGATAAATAGGGCGGGATTTAAAGCCTTTTTGTTGTAGTGCGCGCTGTTTATCGATATACGATAGAAATCCACGGCATCGATACATTTAGCGTCTATTCTAGGGCTCTCTAGGATACTGCCCCCAATCTTTCGATTTTCACAAAATGGCATTGTTTGTATGTGTGATAGTCGAAACATTACGTCCAGTACAGTAGCAGTGTTCTCTATAGCTCTCCACAAAAACTATATATATGTATTATATAATAATATGTCGATGGTGACTTAATTCGAAATGTTGATATATCATTAATTTAATACCAATGTGCCCATGTTAGTAGGAGCTAAAAGAAAAAAAAAAAAGAAATCAACAGTATCAATTCTAATTCTGACAGATAAATTCGTATACTCATGAACAGAAGGAACCAACGAACGGTGCATTGAATGGAACAGATGAAAAATATGAAAATGTCACAGATTATATAAATCAATATTCTTCCTCTTTCAGACCGAACTGTCAAACGTGTCTTTATACAAATGGGGTTTTTTATCTATCCTCTATCCTCTAGCACTCAGCCTCATAAACATTTTCATTGAACATTGTGCATCAAATCTTAACATTAACCCTATGATAACAGTTAACACGATTACATTAAACAGACAATATTGTGAACTTGTAATGCATTATCGTTTGACCTTATCGTTTTACGTGTGAATTAGTCAATTCGAAGGACATTTCTGTTGATTGAAGAAGATTAAAATTATTATTGTTGAAAAAATACCAAATTAATATTTCTGTCTCTTTTTGCCGTGTAAAAATCATTTTTATGAAAGAAAGCAACATGCGTCGAATTTAGATTTTGAAGTTCCATTCAATATTTTAGGATGTATTCATTTTTGTATTATTACAACTATTCATCCCCAACCAACAGACACGTCCTATTTTACAACAAAAAAAAAAGATATTCGAATGGTTCTTATTCGGTTAACCGACAATTTAATGTAGGCAACTATTAATTTTATTTGTAAAAATATTGTGTCAATAAAATATCTGTCTGACATACGTACATTATTGCCTGTTAAAATTTGTTTTTCATAGTGTGATTATTATTTTCAATAATATAAGTTTTTTTTTCAATAATTGCATTATCGACAAAAACGGAAGGAAGTAGTATCGACATTTTTTAAAGTGTAGTTTCGTCTTATCGAAATGCTGTGTCAGACAGATTTTTAGGAGCAGAGTCCACTATTACAGCAGTCGGCATCAACAGCAACACTTACAATACTGCTTTAGAAATGGACTCCAAATGCTAAGATAGTTCTGGACAAATTTAGTGAAAATATTCCCATTTTTACTAAAATTCAGTGATAATTTGTACACAATACATAATAAGTCGTAATCGTTTGTTGAGTTTATTGTAAATATATTTATTATTATTATATAATATGTTAAATAATCCGCTGTTTCACTATAAATGTGTCCAGAATCAACACATGATCAAACGAGCGTTCACTTAGCTTGTTATATTATTTATGTATATTACATTGTATATACTAGTGGCAGTTATCAACGCTCTTGATATTCAACTGTTAGGTTAAAAGCTCACTAAGTTCATTCACAAAAATATGTTTCATTTAACACACATTTTCACTATATTTATTGATAATTTAAGGCCTTAACATTGGTGAGATAGATACCTAACGGGAAGATAGTATCGTCGTGAGCTGTCAAGTTTAGGCGGTACCAAAGAAATTTAAAAATAGAACGTTGTTTTTTTTATTTAAAACAGAAGTTAAGTAAGGCAAATCGCCTAGTGAGCTTTCACACTCATGCGACGGCAAAGTCATACAATTCAAATACAAAAAACATTCTCCAATTACATAACTATTGAAGTCGGACGTCAAGTTAGTCGATTATAATTAATAAGATATCGATTTCGGGAAATTAATCAGTGCGTACAAGTTTTATGATCGATTGACATAGACATAACCATAGATAATCGAAGCTCATGCAATTTCTTACAATGATAAGTTTATACAATTATAAATGAAGTACCAAGTGATTAAGATAAAATATAGGGGATACATGAAAGTATCTAATTGGTATAAGTATTACACAGAAACAATAAATGAATAATAAAACCGTCCGATGGCTACTAACCACATTCGTTCATATAAAAATGAGCTCAGATTGCGTTTCCAACAACCAATGAAATATTCAAACTAAAAAGAATTAATTTAGAAAACTAAAATCGAATATCCAAAAATTTCACGAGGAACAGTCGAAAAATTGTATATGTCAATTAAAAACTAAAAATCACTAAATCAGGCGCAAAGTAAAATAAAACGGAAATCATCTTTCCACAACACATTCAAGTTCCGACTAGTTTCCTCACAAAACAAAATAAAAAGCAAATTGTACAGCTGAAATCATTAGGAACATACATCTGACATCTGAGCAACTTCTTGAAAGAATACGTTCAAGAAATTCAAATTTCTATTACTAACATACTTATCACAGGTTAAAAGGGACAAGAGAAAGTATTAGTGTTCTCTCAATACAGTACATACGTAGCTACATAATATAAAAACTAAGACAACTTACGATGTACTAACGTCCGCGCCGAGGCGACGCGAGGCGCGGCGTGAATGAAATCGTTCTTTAAAAATTAATAATAAATTCTAAGCCCATTGCCCCTTACGTGGGGCGGTTGAGATCGATTACTTACATTTATAACAATATAACATTACGTTGACTGGCGGTGCCAAAGCGCTGAAGCCGATTAAAGTAAAAGAGCACATAAGGCGACATCCTCACAGTCTGACGCGCCGAGTGAATCGGTCAGGCCCGACCTCCCAATAAGAATTAGTTGTGATAATAAAAATAATATATGCTAATCGAGCCCAACCGATTTACACGTCGACATCGAATCTGTACAGCTATAGAGCTTTAAAGATCTTTTCCTCCACACCAAAACGTTTATGTCTACTTGGTATCAGTTGAAGTTTTGGCGCGAAGGTGACTGTTCCCGATCATCCCATGGACTAAGGCGAGCTCTACCATCCAACTCGCCTGACCCGTCATCACGAAGGCTCTAGCTCGCGGCGGGAGTTCATCGTTGCTGGCCTAGTATCGGGGCCTTATGGCCGTAAAGGAACACTCGTGGTGCATATCAGATGTTCGTGGGTAATTGACGCTTCGGAAAGTCTTTGTTTGTAGGCTTCCATCGCTTGACCACCATTATATATATATCACAACAGCACTGTAGTCACTGAGGCCTAAAGTCCGGCCTGGTACACTCGTTGTCTGGCGCGCGGCCCAGCAGACCGCGCGCCTAATCCCACCCGTTCTCCTTCACCATATGAGCCAGTTCTATTATGAACTTGCCCTCTTTGTATTTCTGACTCGATTCGAACGCGTGCTCCTGTAACAAAGAAACAATAAACACGTTTAAGGGTTTAGTGATTCAATGACTAAAGAGGATTTAAAGAGTAGTACCACCTGGCACGTGTCGTTTACGATTACAATGCCATTAAATTGGCCTGCAGTGCAACAAAATAGAGAATGCACGGGGAAGGGAGAGTTACAATATAGAGGTAATGTGTATTAAAATAAGGTTCGCATTTTGAAAATTTGGATTATTTGGAAGATGTAACAATGAATCCTTCAGAAGTAAATCTTTAACTCATAAAACCTACATACCTCACACTAAACAAGTACCTACTATATAAGAAATTCATCTATAAAGTCTTATCACTCTCAGACGTTAGAATGACGTTAGAGATTTGTGTCGTACTGTGTTTTCCATTATCTCATCGATAACAGATTATGTATAATAATATACAACAAGTAGGGTCATTGCAAGGTCGTCTTTTATAACATAATAGGTCATTGCTACATAAAATTATTGTGACTAGAAAGTCGCAAGTTTACTCTATTCTACACTAGCGCCACCCCTCAAATATTACGGATAGACAAAAATCAGTTGTTAAGGCCGTTTTTTGTCGTTATCAATGTCGACACTACCAGCCCTACATTACAAATTGTCGAAAAATTTTTAGCCTACACATTCGAAAAATAAAATTTCTTCTTACGTTCCCAAATTTATATTTAAAATTACAATAACATTGAGGCCTCAAAACGCCTGACCTCATTGTGTGATAAAAATCTACTTTAACTAAGACCTTTTACTTATTAAAAAGGACTGCATTTACATTTTAAAATGAAAAGAACACAGGACGAGTTTACTTAGGTATCAACTCTATATCGGTTTTTAGAACGTCGGCCATTTTGGGACCATTAGGGTAGAAGAGAAAAATAATAAATTTTTAATTGACCTGTCCTTATCATGGTTAACTTAAATGCTCTGTTCCTATAATGGAAATAAAACTAGTTTTAAATAAGTTTTCTTCAAGCTATCAAATGTCTGAGGTACTTATAATAAGAAGGTCTAATGACATTCAATGGTGTGGTGAAGGCAGAATACATTTATTTCATCACAAGGTCCCGAGTGAACAGGTTGCTTATAGGGACGCGTGCTCCATCGTCGGCCACATCATCGCTTACCACCAGGCGAGATGGTGGTCAAACGTCGACGTATCAAGTATAAAAAAGAATCTACTCTTCCAGACTACTAGGTCGTAAGAGCCGAGTAAGGACCAAGGGACTACACATTAGGCATAAGTACTCAAACTCAAAAGCATTTATTTCAATTAAACCATAATTTGGTCCTTTTGAAACGTTAACAAATATGAAATAAATAATAGTCTGTCAGTCTGTCCGTCAGTGAAGCTCGGCGCTCGTTCCAAAATGTTGATTCGAGTGGAGAAAAACGAGCAAGAAACTCCATTCGTTACTCTTTTTAAAAAAAGTCTGTTTCCATAGACCGGGCAGCATCGCTTCCTATGTAAATAACCTTTCAACATTTTATACGGCGATCTTCAACCTGCCTGCCAAGCGACCCTGGCATTCAGTGACAAAGTTTTAAGGAGGCTTAGAAAGGGTTCTAGAAATACTATTTTAGGCAACAATCGGTCTGAAATAAATTGATACAAGACCCCGCACTTTTAATTGTTTTCAATCCTTTAGTCTTTGTAATTAATTTTGCCAGCTGAAATGCTTGGATGGGACTTCTCTATTCTGTAATGAATAAAAAAAGCTAGATTTTTTTTATTTAAATTACAAGTCGGTCCAAAATTACTGAATACTTTTTTCATCCAGCCACAAGACGTACGACGTTTACTGCTGAACATAGGCCTCACCAAAATAATCCAATTAAGTAGTTTCCTAGGTTTAAAATAAATTGCTTCAACTTA